CTTAACCTCTCTGCCTAAACGTACTCATTTATAAACCAGGAATGACAAACGACAATTAAACCAACTGTAGTGCTCTGTTATGCAGTAGCAGATACAGAGTAATTTAAGCTATCTTAAGGGCTTAGCACACACTAAGTACCATAGATGTGTTTGTTATCATTTTTGCTATTATAATATTATGTATTATAGCACACATTAATCAGTACTCATCATGCATAGTATGACTCTCAACATTGTCTTCCAAGATGTTTCAAGGAAATCTAAGCCTCATTTTCCTTATCATGAGGTAGAGAGAAAACAAGAGCTGTTATAACAGAAGTGGGGCTTCACAGCATGACAGTATGTAAAGACAGGAACAAATTCTTCTCCTTAATTCTTAGATCAATGTATTCTGTACTTTGTTGTGTGACCCAGAGCACAAAGTTGACTAGCACCCCTCCAAAATGCATTCCTTCCCAGAACTAAAGAGTATGATCTTATTAGGAAATAGGGTCATTGCAGATGTAATTAGTTGAAATGAGGTCATACTGTAGTGAGGCAAAATCTGTATCCAAAATAAGTGGCATGCATATAAGAAGAAAGACAGAGGCACACAAGTGGAGAAGGCCATGTGATAGCAAAAAGAGAGGTTGGAGTTACATATTTACAAGCCAAGGAGCTCAAAGGCTTCCTGGCCATACCAGAAACTAAGAGAAAGGCATGGGACAGATCCTAGAGATTTTAGAAAGAACATGGCCCTACTCACACTTTGATTTCAGACTTCTGTCCTCTAGAACTGTGAGAGGACAAATTCATATCATGTTTAGCCACCTAGTTTGTGACATTTGTTATGGCAGCCACACAAAAACAACATACATTGCTTCCATTTTAGACCACTGTGAGAAGCCGGGCACCCAAGCTGCTATCTCTAGTTCAGTGGGAAATTCATGCCCTAAATTGCTGAGGAAAATGGAGTGTGAATGAAAGGACCCCAGGAACCTTGAAAGCTGAGGGCAGATTATCTCATTTCCTGTATAAAATTCATCCAATCAAACCATCTTCAACAGTTTAAGAGCTTAGCTCTAATATTTATGTTTTCTAACCTAAGACATTTTGAAATACTGTTATAATTGTTTCCCCTAGGAAACATGTATTTGCATGTATAGGGATTTTTGGGAGTGTTCCCTGGAATGTCACCTGTGAGTGGTATGGAAAACAGAACTGAGCAGGGTGGAGAGTCAAATGCAATACAATTGCAACAAAGGTCCCAGCTGATCAGATAGGGAGCCTGCAAGCTGGAAAGATTTTGGAGTTTTCTCAACTGAGGCAAAGAGACCATGGCTTTTTCCCCCACCTAGAACAACCACTGGATGCAGGCTGTGCTCAGGGAAAGCCACAGCTTTGGGTAAGGTAATGCCTGGTGATGGTCACAGCTGTGAGCAGCCAGGGGAAATGGGAACTTGGGTCCTAAAGAGGGACCGAGAGGGTGGCCCACAGATCTACCACATGTACGATGGAAGTCTTTTTGCCTAATCATCATCCGTTATTAGAATGTGGCCATTAGAGATTCTGCACCTGGACTAGAATTGCCATACATAGTCCAGGAAAGAATCCATTAGGTGCTCTCAAATCATGTGCACTGTGACAAGTCTGAGAGATCTCAGCACTGCTCTCTCTGCTGTTCCCTTTCCTGCCCACACACTCTCTATTTCCATGTACTGCAACAATATTTAAAATCTCCAATTTACAATGGCTTAGATCACATTTAGATCACAGTGATTTCTTCTTTTTTTTCTAGTTACCGTACCAATATAGAAGACCATAATTTGACCAACTAGAAAATGCTATCCATCCACTCATTCATTTCCTTCTTCATTCATCACACATTTTTAATAACTTACTCTATCCTAGGCTAAGCATTAAGTATTTTAAAAATGAAAAGACTTAAAAGGCCTTAACACTGTAATTTTCTCTAGACATAATAAAGATAGTTGGACAGATTACGGGGAGTACTATGACTTGAACGGATCTGGGTTTTTCAAAGATCCCTCTGTAAATGTTGCAGAGACTGGATCACATGGAGAGGCCACAGTACAGCTTGCAGGTAGGGGATTTAAACTCCAGTTGAGTCACTCTTCAAACCTTATCTGAGTCACCCATCTTCAGTCCCTCTGCCTAGACCACTTTGCTGTTCCATAAGTTAGTTGCATTGCCAAAAAATCTGCTTGGGTGGGAGTTCTCATATATTATCCTCATAAGTCACTAGCAGCCCATGAGGCTCAGTCACATGCCTTGTATGTACAAACACACCATGTATATGATCTCAGTCACAAATACTCAGTGTATAGCACACAGCTGTCCACATACCATGTAGACTGGATGCCTCTAAGAAATGAACCCCCAAAGGCTGAAATCATTCTATTTTGGCTTTCCTCACAACAGCCTCAATAACACTGGGCCAGTCCCCAACAGATAAAGTAAACCTCAGTGGGTGGACTTCGACATTAAATACAAATTAATGATCTAGATATATGACTAACTGCAGAGACTGTATCTCAAAGAAATAAAAAGCAGGAGAAAATTTTTTAAATTAGTCAACTATTGAGTGGAAAATAGAAGAGAAAAAAATATTATATTCATAATAATTATTTGAAGGTAACAGTGTATGTTCTTTAATGCAGTTCCAACATAAATGTCAGTATAAGAAATGATATTTCATTTCACTACTAACAAATCAGGTACTTAGTTTGCATAGGGAGAAATGATTGGAACTACTTTAAAGGCATGTTAACTAGAGAAACTGAAAAAATATTTATATTCTTATGAAGGAAGGAAGGAATGACCCTCATGGGTATAGTTAAGTATCCTCCATCTTTTGGATAAATGGTAACACTAAACAAAAAATGGAAAGATGACCTTAGGATAATAACCTCAAGACTCAACTGGAACTCAGCTTCCCAATGTACCAAATTCATTTTCAATATGTTCAGAGTGGAAATTTCTATACTACTTTATAGCTCATAGACTTTACTATATACTCCCAAAAAAAATCACCAAAACGCCCAGTTCTGGGCTGGCTTCCTTCCCATAGTGTGGACCTTCCCATATGTAAAATTACTCATCTTGTTCACTTTCTGCAATTCTGCTCAGTTACTCAACAATGTTTGCAAGGACAGGAAAGTAAAGGGAAGGAGAAAACAAATCCATTCTGAGAGGTGTTTCATATAGAAAAGGGATTGTTAAAACCAAAACCAGGTCTGGCACTGTTAGAGTTTTCTATACTTAGTTTTCTCTCCATTCTTCCTTCTAAAGACCCCATGCAAAATCCGTGTGGAAAGTTTCACAGGATAAATGTTATTCCAATGCCTGGAAAGCCATCCCACTGGGTGAGCTTTCATTCTTTGTCATTTCTAGCAGTCATTATGTATGTAGCATGGAAGGCAGAGAGTTAGTGTGGGCCTGACCTATGATCCATTTAGTTTTCAAACAACTCCAAAGGACTTTTTGAGTGTCCAGTTGATTTATCATGAATGTCACTGACACATATGTAAAACAAAGCTGTTAGTCTGAATTGGCACTTGGAGAAACAAAGTCAATGAAAGTTGCCAACCTAATAAATCTGTGAAGGGTTGCATGGAATGTCTTTTAAACAAGTGACTGGCCCCTTTCCATACAGTTGCATACAATAAGAAAGGCATAAACCCATGGATCCAAATATTCCAGGCTTATTTCTTTCTGGTTTCATAGGTTTTGTATGCCAGGCCCACAATGAACAGAGTCCTGATGAAGTAAGCACCAAGAACACTAATCTATGTGTTGACATTATATGTGCATTGTGGAATGCAGATAACTACATGTATGTGGTGTGTACATAGAGGTAAGTTGCATTGAGCCTTGCTGCCAAGTGGAAGAGTGAGGCTTTTAATGCCCATCATTGGATGGGCATCACATTCTTCATCCAGTTTAATTAAATAGGATTAGTTCCAGTCTAATAGAATATTAACCCAGTAAAAAAAATTGTTCTTCAAGGCAACTGTTTGGACTCACTCTATTAGAATTAATGGGTCAAAATGAGTGGTTCAGGAGCCCAGTGTCAAAACTCTCTTTGACCAAGCAGGAAGTTAGATGGTGTTCATCACCTGTCATTCACTGTTCTCCCTTTGATAACTAACAGATTTCTACAATCTCAAGATTGTGTAACTGCCAAGTGCCTCCTGGCCACTTCAGGAGAGTATCAAAGCCAACATACAATGCGTTCTAATGCTGGTGAGGTCCAGGTATTCTTGGGGTTGAATGGAAGTCACCCAGGAGTACTCTATCAGCTTGCCTAAGAAATTTAAAAGTCTTATTACTCTGGCACTGTCACAATGTCCCTTATTTATGCTTCTCTATGGGGGAGAGAGAAGAGCAGCCATCCAGCTGCTTATGCAGTTAATATAGCTGTAGAAAAGAGCATGATTTATACATGAGCATTTTCCCTCAACACATGCATGAGTCCCAGACCCACTCATTCTGGGATATCAATACCATGCACACACTTCTGGTGACAGCAGGCTAGCACACAGAGCTGCTGGTTTAGATTGGCACAGAAAATGATCAGAATACAGACATATTTTGACAATATCTATAGACAACCTATGCCTTTTATGAGGCATATGGGATGGGTCCACTTGTAAAATAAAAACAGATTCTCCATGCATATAACAGAGCCAGGCAGACTCTGTAGAAGTTAGGAGTACAGGTCAGAGAGAGGCTTCCTGCTGCTTGCTGGTCAGGGCAGCTGACTGAGGAACCAAATTGGAAGACATCCACATTTTGCTTCCAGAATCAACAGGGATGATGCTGTACGTGAAGGCAATCATTGAACCAGTTACTCAAGGCAAAGAAGCAGGGCCAGACACTACTTGGAGCCTTCTTCCTTTTGCAGGTGAGAAATCAGGGGTGAGGGATCTATTATTGTTCCTCATTTCTATGTAGTGCTGCTGGGCAGGAAGCGCTGGGGGTAGTACAACATCACATACCTGATAGGGGCCCTGGTTGCAGCCACAGTAGCTGCTCTCCATGGTGTAGCTTCTAGACACACCCATTTCTCTCCACACCACCACCCGGGCTGTGGAGGCTCGAGATTTCTCCACAAGGAAACTGCAACTGCTCATTGTGAATGCAGGTGCTAGCTTATCAAGGATTTTAGGAAGAGTCTGCAATAATTAAAAAAAAAAATCAAGCTATGATGAGTTGCAGGTCATTAGGAATATTCACTATAAAATAGCTTCTCAACATTTATTAAGCATCATATATATCAAATACTTAATGTATGCTCCTGTAAGTCATTTATTAACCCTAAGAAATAGATACCAACCTTTTTAAAATCATTTTGAGATGAAGAAATTGAAACTTAGAAATGTAAAACATAAATAACTTAAATCCTACAACTACAAAGTAATTAGAATGGGACCCAAATGCCAATCTGGCTAGCTCCAAAAATTTTAGTGGTTTGACTCCACATTTTTGCATTACTGTGAGCCTTGGCTGCACCCAGATATTTGACCCTGTTCATTGCAGAGTTGAGCCTGTGGAAAGTCAAAAATGTCAACAGGGACCTAAAATTGAGTGACTCCATCCAGCCTCACTGTCCTTCAGTAGGGTCAGACCAAAGCTGGTCATTTGTCTCGACAGTCATAGGGGTCACCTAAGATTCCTGGGCAGGTGTATATAGAAAGTTCACCTGTTTCCAGTGAGTATATAATTGCCAAAACGAACTTTTTGGTCTCATCCTCTAAGTCATAAATCTGAGGCTGGGTCAATTATAAAACTCTTAAAACTCCATCTCTCTGGGTTCATATATCCTACTTTTTCTTGGAATAAAAATGCTTTATTTATGACCACTTAATCTCCATTTAGAAGGCATCTGTAGATTCTTGTCACTACAGTTGACAGAGACAGGGCTTCCAGCCACCAGACCTGCCCCCAAGGATAATTATTACCACAACTGATCATGGTCTCTAAGTTTCCATACAACCTTCAGGCCTTCAGATCATTTAAAAAGCAAGGCAAGTACACAGCCCTGAGTTTAAACCCCAGTTCCTCCAAAAGAAAAGAAAAGAAAAACACTAACTGTCATCCTCACTTAAGTTTCTGTCATTACCTCCTAATCAAGCTCATCAGATCCACTTTTGTCACTTCTTCCCTGTGCTCCCACATCCCATTTTTCCCTTTAAAGTGTTCGTCAAAATTTATCTGTAGATAAATTATTCTATGTTTATTGTTTATTAGTTGTTTATTGCATATCTTTTCTTCAGCCTAGAAGTCCGAAGAGGGCAGCAATGTGTCTTACTCACAAGAAAATCTCTGCCCATTGAGAAATATGTAACTCATAGAGGTCACTCAGTCATAGTTTGCTGAAATAAAATCTTCCAATCCAGACACCTAGCAGACTGCTTAAATAAACATAAACATAATATGTATGTATACATAAATAATGTGATTGCAAATACTCAAAAATAGTTTTAGTTAAAGCTGGATATAGTGGTGCATGCCTGTAATTCCAACTACTCAGTAGGTGGCGATCAGAAGGATAGCAGTCTGAGCCCAGTCTAGGCAAAGGTAACATGACCCTGTTTCAAAAACAAAATAAAAATAAAAACTTGGGGGCACAGCTGAGGTGATAGAGTGGTTGCCTAGAAAGCATGAAGCCCTCGCTCAATCCCCAGTATGCAAAAAATTAATTTATCAATATTTTATCTTGTTGCAAAAAGTTCAATACTGTTTAAGTGTTCTCTCCATTTTTATTTGTGAACTTATTTATTTTTGTGGTTTGTGTCATTTTTTAAATTTTTTTTACATTAAAGTAATTATCTTTATTCTAGTAATAAGACTCACATGAATAGAATTATAAAAATATCTGTTTCTGCATAAATTATCTTATTTTTATTCAGTGTTCATTGATTCCATCTTCCTTTTTTCCTTTTCTTTGGTGGTACTCATGTTTGAATTCAGGGTCTTGTGCTTGCCAGGCAGATGCAATACCACCTGACCCATGCTTCCAGCTGATACTATCTTTTCAAAGTTAAATGAGGTACTTATCATTTTGGTGGTTAAATTAATAGTGTTAAAATGTCTCAAACATTTTGGTGGCTTGTGATCCAAACTATTATTTGAAAAACATGATTGACATGAGCTGGGCAGCTTGGGGAAACTAGGTAGACACTATTCCTTCACCTGAGCTTAGAGCTGTTGATTTTAATTATTAGTATCCCACTGAAGATCCTGTGGGCAATTAACATTTATGTTAAAAATACTAACTTTTGCATCCCGTCCTGTAACAGAGTCCTATAAGTATGGAGGCCCCTCTCCAGCCTCATTTTCAGCTACTTCCTCCTTTTTCCTCCTTTCCAGCCTCCTGCCATTTGCTTTCAGATCTCAATATCTTTCTTATCTAAATAACTTCATCAACTTCTATCCTTTTCTCTTCTTTTGCCCTTATGAAGCCTATTCTGACCACTTAGAAGTCACTTCCTTTTGTTTATTTACTAATGTGCATTCAAAATTTGTATTTAGTTTTTGCATTCAAAAAATTACATGCACCAAGCTTCTTCTTCAAACATCACTCACTCCCATCTGAAGGAAATATTGTTAGAAGTGAGAAAAAGCAGGAAGACTCCACAGTCACAGCTGAAACCCCCCCATCCCCATCCCTAAGACTTGCGCAGTCAGTCAGTATTTCCAGCCAACTTCACCATTCCTGGTCTTCACATCCTGGTGGAATGTAACCTCATCCTTTCTGCCAGCCTTTGACTTGCCTAATTCTACACTGAAAGACTGACCTCAGACCTAGTTTCTCTTTCTTCCAAGCAGATGAGGCCCCTACACATAATTTCCCTTTTATTTTACACATTTTTTCCTATTTTGTGAAATAAAATTAATCAGGCAGTGACAAAGTAGGGAAGGAAGTAAAGAAGTATTTAGTGGATCACCTTCCACGCACTTGATTCTGAGTGAGGCCCTCTTGGTACTTTATTTCATTCAGTTCTCATGACTGCCCTAAGGGAGAAGTATAATTATCACCATTTTAAGATGGTTTGTGTCTTTTAAAAAGACTTTGTTTTCAAGTTCAATATCAGTTTCATAGCAAAACCAAGAGGAAGGCACAGAGATATCCTATCTCCTCCATGGCCTCACATGGGCATAGCATCCCCACTATCAGTGTCTCCCACCAAATGGCACACGTTTGTTGTAACAGATAAAACAACATTAACCCATCGTCATTGAAGGTTGTAGATTATGTTAGATTTACTCTTGGTATTATACATTCTATGGTTTGGAAGAATGGATGCATGGTAACATTATCCAGCATCCCAGAAAGAAAGAAACGATGGAAGGAAGGAAGGAAGGAGAAAGAAAAACAAAAGAAAGAAGTCTTAATTCTTATCTCTTGTATCATTGCTGCCATGCATTTCACTTATAAGTAAGCATATATGTGTGTATGCATAGACTACCAAATGTATTATTACTACTATTATTTTGAACAAACTGTCATCTGTTAAATTAAGAATAAAAAAATACAAGTTTTGTCTTACTGTCACTTATCCCTCTTCAATTCTTTTCTCGTCTTTATAGAGATCCAAGTTTCTGGCCTATATTATTTTCCTTCTGTCTGAAGAACTTCTTTGAATACTTCTTGCAAGACAAGCAACAAATTCTTTCAATGTTTGTTTATATAAGAAAGTCTATATTTTGCCTTCATTTGTAAGTGTAATTTCACAGGATAAGAAGTTCTAGGCTGGTGAGTTTCTTGTCTCAACATTAAATATTTTATTCCACTCTCTTCTTGTTTGCAAGATTTCTGGGAGGTCAGATGTAACTCTTATCATTTTTAACCCTAGGGTTAAATAGTCCTTTATCCTTCTGACTTCATTTGGTATTTTTTTCTTTATTTTTTTAATTTTCAATAGTTTCAAAATAATGTACCTGGGCACAGGATTTATAACCTTCATCTTGCTTGGTGTTTTCTGAGCTTCCTGGATCTGTGGTTTGCTGTCTGACATTAGGTGAACCTGTTTTTTGTTAGGTAATTCTGCCCCCATACAAATGACCACACATTCAAATTAATCTCACGCTTCTTATGGAGCTTAATTAATTATAATTCCTTCCCTGGAGCATGGGAGGCAGGGGATTTATAAGGTGAAATTGAGTATCCCTTTTATATTTTCACAGTGATACAACAGACTCCAAAACTGTGGCACTTAAATTTTTACCCCATCATTTCCTTTCTCTTTTAGTATTACATAAATAAATTCATATCAGAGGGAGGAAGGCAATGACAACTACTCTCAAACAGAAGTTGTTTGTATTGTTTTTTAATGAATAGAACATAGATGAACTCTCATCTCAAGTGGGGTATTATTACCTCACGAGAGTATAAAGCAGTGTAAATAAGATGTACTGTGGCCAATGTATAAGAGACATCTATCCATTACATTGTAATATTATTTATAATTATTATAAACATGTCCTCAGAGGCACTTCCTTCCTTTTTGATTCTTCCTTATTTTCTAAAAGCAGACCTCAGAATGTATAATAAAGATGATTCAAGAGCAGAAAGATGCCAGAAACTGCCCAAACACTAAATATCAGACATCATAACACAGGAGTTAAAGGCAGACAGGTTAGAGCCAGAGAAACCAGGGCTAGGAAAAGTCCAGCTCCCCAGTTACTTGCTGTGTGACTGACTGCACATAGATACTCAGTCTTCCTGGATCCTAGGCCCTTAATCTGTCAAATGGGAGAATTGACATCGCTGTCCAGAAATTGCCCTGAAAATGGTTCTACTTCTTCACAGGCACTGAATCAAATCCATCCAGGATTAGCGGACTCAGGCGCATCCTTAAATGAGGGAGAAGGGTTGATTCTGAACCAATCATTTTGGTTTTAAGGCACATTTTAAAAGCTATATTTTTAAATAGTTATATTTCAATTGTCTGATTTCTGCCCTCAAAGGTAAGCTGACTGAGAGTTCACAGGATAGCACCTAGACCAGAGCTCATTTCCTGGGAGGGGTCCTCAGTTTAGGAAAATACAGACTCCCCATGGGTGACCCTACATAACCCAAATGCCTTCTCTGGATTGAGAATATGCCAAGGGCAAGGTAGCACAGAACTTAGAATCCTCAGTAATTATCATTATTGCTGCACTGTGGAGA